AAATTTGGTTCCTTCTTCTGATCTCAACTGTTAGTGAAATTATTCCTACTTCCCTAGAAAGTAAGGGATTAAGCTCTTACCATTTTTTTTCCTCATGGGAGTGGAAGTTTTCTCCCTGATATGAAAACAAAAACAATAAGAGATTTAAATGTTTCATGAACATGGTGATATGCTACCACCATCCCCCTTCGAGTAAGGATTTGTCCCAGCTATTGAGCCTGCTGTTGACCGAGTCTTTGGTGCCTTTAGAACTGTTGCATTTGCAGACTGTCACCTTTGCTAAGGTCCTCTCCCAGCCTGGTCCACATATCGATTGGGGATCAAAGTGGAAATATAAGAGACTGGCCAACTTGCCCAACTTGGGACAACTATAATAGTCATTTTGAACCTCCAAAACTCCCTATGGTATCTGCACAATCTCTCTCCCCAATCCTTTTTTCTTTCCCACTCTTCTACAAGCGTTTAATCCAAAGGGCACTCTCCAAATACCCTACCTGTTCATGTCTTGTCGTCACCTTCCCAGGAAACTCAACTTATAACTGTTGAGGGCAAGAATAAGGTCTGAAGGAGCAAGCAATAAGATGGGGTTTTGCATATGAGCATTAGATGCCTACCTGACATTGAGGGCTCCTATCACAAGTTACAGTCTAAGTCTTAAAATTTTTATGGATGGTTAATGGGATTGGTACACCAGTGGAATGGTACATATAGGGAAAATGAAAATTATAAGAACAATGGAATTGGGTATTTCTCTGGACTAAAAATGTGATTGTACTGGGATATAGGGCTTTTAGGAGATAATTCAGGTTAAATTAGATTGTAGCAGTGAGCCCTAATATAATGGGATTCATGGCCATACAGAAAGAGGAAGAGAGCTGTGTCTCTTTGTGAACACACTGAGGAAAGAATGTGAGAGAACAAAGCAAGAAGATGGTGGTCTGCAAGCCAGGAAAAGAGCCTTAACCAGGAACCAAATGAGCCAGCACCCTGATTTTGCATTTCTCAGACCCTGAAACTGTGAAAAATTTCGCTTTGTTAAGCAATCTGTCTAAGGCATTTTTTAAAAATATTTATTTTTTAGTTGTAGTTGGACACAATACCTTTATTTTATTTATTTATTTTTATGTGGTGCTGAGGATTGAACCCAGGGTCTAACATGCGTAAGGTGAGCGCTCTGCCATTGAGCTCCAACCCCAGCCCTGTCTATGGCATTTAAAAAAATATATTCTTTTAGTTTTAAATGGATACAATATCTTTTTTAAAATGTATTTATTTTTAAGTGGTGCTGAGGATTGAACCCAGTGCCTCACATGCATGAGGCACACTGTACCACTGAGCCCCAGCCCCAGCCCCTGTCAATGGCATTTTATTGTAATAGCACATGGTGATTAAGATTATTGTTTAGCTGGATGAATGGACTGGAAATAAGTTAATGAAAAGCTGAGAGTGATTAATATCCAACTAAAAGCTCAAAGTGACTACTTAGTACCTCACAAAAAAGAAGAGAAAAAAAATCTCCTGAAGTAGGAGTCCATAATAAGCCAAAGAATGAATTCAGTCAGAGTGAGCTAAACTCCAGTCAAGACAGGTATATTAAGCTAAGAGCAGAGTCTTAGTTGAGAAAGAATGGGGCTTGACAATCAGATGAGGACATTTCCAGAAATGGTCCCCCATTACTCAGAGATGATTCAGACATGTCTCTTCATTAAAATAATAAGTGTCTCCTCTTTGCCCTCAAGATTTGTTCACAGGTTCTCTCTTTCCGTAGGCCTTAACTAGTGTTAAGTCTCAATATGCTGGATATTGTCATTCAGGAAAGGACCTATATCCCAAAAGATCTTTAATACCCAGCCAGCATAAACTGGAAAAAAAAGTATAGAATTAAATTTTGAGAGTGCTTAATGATAATGAAAGGAACATCAGATTGGATAAGGGAGAAGTATATTCGGAAACACCCTCCCAGTACTAAGGATCTAAAACCATATCAAGACCCCCAACAGTTAGTGTGAATGGATTCCAGAAGCATGAAAAAATTGATGACCCATATCAAATGAGGCTAAAATGTCACCATTGCCATGACAGAGAGTAGAAGAATAAATTTAAAGGATCAGGAATTTGATTATGCTGAAGAATATTTACTTTATAAAGATGGAAACCCCACCAGATGACTAGTTTACATAAGGCCATTATTTACACCATATTTCAAGGCCATTAGAAATGCACCGTTATGCTGGACTGGGGACATAGTTTAGTGGTAGAGTGCTTGCCTAACATGCATGAGGCCTTGAGTTCAGTTCCCAGCACTATGGTTAAAAAAAAAAAAAGAAAAAGAAAAAGATGTGCTATTGTTGGGGCACCAGTATCTCTAAGATGATGACTAGTGACTCCCTGTAGGCCAGAACTGATGGTAAAAGAAGCCATGGAAGAATGAGTTTCACTGATAGCAATAGGGATAACAGGGTCCTAAAATGATCAAGGCCACGTAGTGGTTATTAACTGTCAGAAGTCAAGTTGGACAATTATTATAAAGTCCCAGGTGCAGTGAGGAAAAAGAGAACCACAGAAAATAATATGAAGATAATTAATATGATGATCCTGAGGGAAAAATAAATGGACAGTTAATGAGAATACTACTCATTTTGTACCATTTGATAAATTCTAGGATTTATAACCAGGAGAGTGAAGCAGTCTCCTCAATTAAAATAATGATTCCTTGACAAGTTTCCAAACATGAATCTGTTTTTAGATCTAAAACCATGAACTCAAAGAAAGACAGGTTCCCATGAAGATGGACTTGAAATACCATGATAAATGTGCATAGTACCAATTTCCTCAGTATTTCCCCAAAGATTGTTTCAGAACCTTTAGACCTAAAGCCATTTACTCAGATAACTGTCCACTGGGAACATGGGATTACCTAAACACTTCAAGGACCATAAGTCCTAGAATCTGAATTGACATTCTTACTTAGAGATCAAAAGAATAATCATGGTCCCTCTGTTAGAGTACGTACATATGGGAACAGTATATAACACCAAGGTCTGAATGTTTGTGCCCCACTCCCAATTCCTATGATGAAACTCAATCCCTACTGTGATAGTTTCAAGAGGTGGGGCCTCTGAGAGGTCATCAGATCATTAGTATATATCTTAAGGTATTGGAATTACAGATAATTTTTATTTTCTTTATATTTTTGTGCTCATTCCAAATTTTCTATAGTAAACATACACTGTTAGAATCACAGAAAACATGTTTTAAAACTAAACAATACTATTATATATCTTGATGCAGTTATTTCTAGAAACTGAATAGAATTGCAAACATCATTGTTAACTTATTTCCAAAGCTGAAAAACAGTTGCATCTAATATTTTAAAACATACAATATAAAGAGATGACATTAAAATACTAACATTGATATTTTAACTGATGAAAGATCTATTGAAATAATTGCAACTGGGCACAATGGTGTATGCCCATAATCCCAGCTACTAGGGAGGTTGACCAAGGAGAATTGCAAGTTAGAGGGCAGCCTGGGTAATTTATCTGCTTTGGAGTTGAGCCCAATCTCTCTCCACCACTGCAAAATCTCATTGCTTGCCTGGCGCAGTAGCACATGCCTGTAATCCCAATGACTGGGGAGGCTGAGGCAGGAGAATCTTGAGTTCAAAACCAGCCTCAGCAAAAGCGAGGCACTAAGCAATTCAGTGAGACCCTGTCTCGAAATAAAATACAAAATAGGGCTGGGGATGTGGCTCAGTGGTAGAGTGCCCTGGAATTCAATCCCCAATACCCCCCACCCCCCAAAAAAATCTCATGGCTTATTACCAATCACAATGATCCTGAATGAAGTATTCGCTATCATGCTTTGATGAGTATTTATTGAATTTTTTTCCTTGAACAGGATCTATCAGGATCTTGTCCTTAAAGATCCAGATCACTCTGTAGCCCCTTACCTGTGTGTACTTACATCTCTTCTTTAAGCTCATATAGCCTGAAGGAGTATCTCCTGCCAATCTTTCTTTTTCTAGAAAAAATAAAAACTCTTTTTACTGATAACTTTTCATTCGTGAACTGTTAAAGACAAAATCAATTCCTTAGAAAATCTTAGAATACTGGAAGTGAAAAGAGCTTAGAGAACATCAAGTTTAAATGTGCTGCTTTAAAGTTGAGAAACTGGTAGTTTCAGGGGAGGTTAATTGGTTTGTTCAAGGTCACACAGTGACCTAGCAGCAGAGCTAACAATAGAACTTAGGCTTTTCATCCTTAGTCAGGAGCCTGTGCCCAACACCACCTGCTGTGTGGGCAGACTGCCAGTCTGCCTGTCTCCATCTCTTAAAGATCATTAAAGTGGCTCATAAACTACCTTGTGGCTGCAGCGGAGTTCACTCTAATTTTTATCACATTGATTATTATTACATATAATATTAAATAACCAGCATGAGCAATTACCTCTTTAGTTTTACAATGAGAATTTTTTGAAGGTTAACTGAGAGAGAAAATTGTAATGCATTTAGGAAATTTGGTGGCAGGCTAGTTGGGTGAAGAGGGACTGGGGGTGTAGCTCAATGGTACAGTACTGGATGAGCATGTGCAGGCCCCAGGTTTGATCCCCAGCACTACAGAGAGAAAGAGGGGGGTGGTAATGAAGTGAAGGGGCAGAAGAGCAAAAGCAGGAAGCCAGAGTGAACTATTTATACCCCAGTATTTCCAAAGAGCCTAGACTTGATGATTCTGTCCTCATGGAAAGATAGCCCCTGCTATAATTTGGATCTCAAATATCTCCCCAAAGCCCATATTTTAGAGGATCAGTACTCAGTTTGGAGCCCTTGGAAGACAATAGAAACCTTAAGAGGTGGAATCTTGTGGGAGGTTTTTCAGTCACTGGAGGCATGACCTTGAAGGAGATAGTGGTATTCAGCTCCTGCCTCTTCATTTCTTTCATCTGCTGCCATGAGGTAAATGTTTTTGCTCTACAATGTGCTCCCACCATGATATACTGCTCACCACAGACTCAAAAAGCAATGGGGTCTATTGGCCATGAACTGAAACTTCTAAAACGGTGTCAGAATAAACCTCTCCTCTTTTTAACTTTCTCATCTCAAGTATTTTGTTATAGTAACAGAAAGCAGGCTATAATTCAATACCCCCCTGCTTGCCTTATGTTTGTATTTTCATTATCAAATATGAGTGGACTTCCAGGAGCAAATTTGGATGCACCAAGTGCATGTGCTAGGAAGTCACTTAAAATAAAACTTCCTGGAGAAAATGATCTCAATAGAAAGGTATAGACTAAGAGAAAGAGTTGCCAGGAATAAATTATTTCTGATTGTATTTTTTATTTTTTAGTGTTGTATTCAATGAATGCTTGTTGATCAGCATGTCAAATCCTATCTTATCTGCTACATATCAGAAGCCAACCAACACTCATTCCTC